GAGAGAGGTACTGTGAGAGTAAAGTGTCTTGCCCAAGAACACAACACAATGTCCCCGGCCAGGGCTTGAACCCGGACCACTCGATCTGGAGACGAGCACACTAACCATGAGGCCACTGCACCTCCCTGATAAAGTAGATAACTTCAATAAAATTGATCAGAATAATTTAAAAATCAATACTCAAAGAGTATCCCTTTTTATAAATTTCCGATGCAATTTATTTATTTCAATTGATTTTTGTCAATTAGGGATTTTATCGATTCAACATGATATGAGGCAGCGGAAAGGGCCTCTGATCTTATCTTTTTGCTGCAGTTGTTGACATACTACTGGGCTTGCTTCAAGTTCAAGAATTCCTGAGAAAGATTAATCAAGATGAGAAATTCCTACCACAGAGTAGCCAAGTGAAGTTGAGGGAAATATAGCTCCAAGTTTTTCGATCAAATTTCTAAGCATTTTTGTGCATATTTCGTGCTCAATTGTCCCCATCACTTTGATCTGGTTATCACTGGAAAGATATTTTCTTCCTGCAGAACTTGAGTAAGTAAGTGATGCTAATTTCAGTTAAAGGTGATGATGTCACAAGTAGAACAAAGGCGTCAATGGGTTAAATATTTAGTGAAAAAGTAAAATTTCTTAATAACACTCACACAGTCATGACAGCTCCATCCTTTATCTGTATTTGCCTTCCTAAAGGTGTCCAGTTCTGTATGGTCATACAACTTGCCTTTCTTCTTTAGGCACAGTTCATGAAACACTTTACAACAGACACGGCAAGGGTGGACTTCCACTCCGGTATAAACACTGCATATGGAGCACAGTTCTTCATTCTCTACCTGGTTGTTTAATTGTTTGGAAATAATTTGATACAAAAATGTAAATTCACCAAAAAAGGCCATTATAAATCAACATTTAAACTACTTTGTTTTCAAGAATAACAGTTAATAAATACTCACAAATGGGCAAATTCCATAAAATGTTCAAATGTACATAACAGCATTAATTAGATAAAGACAATAAAAAAATAAAAATCCTAATATACAGTTAATTGAAAACTTAGTAATACATGCAATGCACACACATGATAATTAAAATAAGATTATAATGAAGCAATTGAAGCACATTAACCAGTAACAATAGAATTGTGGCAGGTTAGTAATCCAAACAGTTATAAAACAATTAAGGATACCATGCAATACAAAACATTTGAAATGAAAACAATTGTATGCTAAAGAGAGAATTTTAAGGGAAAAAGTTAACTTAAATATAATTTTTAATTATTAAGATGGAATCCACCAGAAGTTCAAGTAACTAGACAAGACAAAAACTTAGTACCTAAGATTATTTACATTGTATTGCAAACTTCCATGCCACTGTTTTAAATATATTCTCAAAAGAAATAATTTTTATCAACACCAAATGTCAAAAACAAATGTTGAAGTAATATGTTCAACACGAAAGACCGCATTTGACCACATTTTCAAACACCGAGAAGAGAGTTGAAAATATGACGCATAGCAGAGTATTTCTGATGAACTTCGAGGTGTTTGGAAATGTGGTCAAACACTGTCTTGAGTGTTTGATATATCTTCACAATCGAAACTAAAACTAAGGAGAAAATGGAGAAATAAAATCATAAAAATCTATGCTAATTAAGATCAGATATGATCAGATATCCAACCAACGTCACGGTCATGATTTCCTTTGTTTAAACTTGATGAATTATTAATGAGTTTGAGAAGTTCATATGAAACACTTGAAAGTATTAGCAAAATGAAACTGATGATGAAATGTTTGTTACCTGTGTTTGCACAATTTCTCTGAACTTTGAAATTTATTTCCTCGACTTCCCATGGGGAATTGTTTTTGGTGTTATTCCAGGCAAATACTTATATCTTTAGCTTTATGAAAATGCAAAAGGACTGTAATATACTTAATATTATAATGGCACAGTACTAGGTTTTTGTCCACTAAAAGTTGAAATCGCTTGATTTCCTATCAAATTTCATCTTAATAACTTAAATCAACTGGCATGGAAAATGAAGTGCAGTAAGATTATATAGAGGATATTGCATGGCCACAAGGAGATACAAACTTTATCTTTGAGTGTTTCATGAGTGAGCGCAGTGAACAAGTTAAATATTTGAAACATTTGTCAACACGAGAAGAGAAATTTCGTATCTCCAAGTGACGATGTAATTTTCTATTTATTAATGTAAATTCTAAATCGACATTTTTGGCAAGTTACTGAAGATTTCTGAACATTTTCCGAAGATTTCCAAAGACTTCTGAAGAAGATCCGAAGATGTTTCGATCATAAACCAACAAATTTAAGTACAGTTAAAGTGATGAAAATGTTATCAAAATTGATATCCTCACAGTGTGGATAAAAATGATATCCTCACATGAGGGATATTGTTTTTATCAATTTGTTACCACTGGGTATACCACTAACTTCACTATAATAAAGAGATATAATTAACTATTAACAGTTACTTATTAATTTCTGGTTAAACGTTAAGTTTGGAACTCACTTGTGGGAAACATTATCAGTGCCATTTTGCCTCATGTACGACTGTGTGAGGTGAAACCTGCAACTGAATCCAATCTAATGTACGTTGGTATTTTAGCTTCAATCACCCAGGGGCTCATTATACAATGCACTTAGTACTTATAATCCACCACAGGTTATTATTTTAATTAGAATTTTTAGTTTTTAGGAATTATTCCAAACTTTATTTGTGGAATTATAGGATGACTCCCTGAAACATGGGGAGTGTTAAATGATTTCCCTGCTCACTTGACAGTTTATTGTGGGCCTTTGGAGAAATATTTTATTGTTTCCTGCAACCACATGAATAAACAAGCTGTTTTACTTCCTGTTGTAAATAAAATTAATACAGTAAACACCCACATACATTATAAGAACCTATGATTTTGGGGTTCAGGCTGATCAAGTTCTTATTTACTGTGTGGTTAGTGAGAAATCACCCTGAAAATGTTCTTGAAATGTTTTTAAAATTTGTTTCAGAAATACTACACATTATACATTTCTAAAGGTTTAATAACATATATTATTAACATATGTAATGTTTTAATATATAGTCTGTCAACCTATTATTTGGAGCATGGCCTCCATGTTGGGCAACTCCGCCGTTGTCGTCATCGCCATCGTGCGTACATGCCCACAAGCAATACCGCTAGCCATGATAACCATGAGAAAATCAACTCATGGGTTTCTTTTTCTTTCCTATATGAGTATGGGGCTCCGCTTGGGGGCCCTTTGGGCCGGCGGAGCTCTGCTATTACTTACAGTAAATAAATAAATTTCAAATAAAAAAATTAAAAGTAAAAAAATAAAATAATATAAATATTAAATAAAAATATTAAAGACACCCAGGTAGCTGTTAGCAAATTGGTGTCAACTGTTATTAGTCCCAAAGTCTCATCCTTCCAGGTCCTGTCAGATCTAAATAGTATGGCTCTTAGAGTTTGTATGGTTCAGCACACCATAGTACTTTAAAATGAATGCTTTCTTATTTTGACATCCTCTTTCTTTTCATATAACATTTTTTATTTATTAGGCTGAATTGGTTCTTTTATTTATGGTGCTTTATCGGCCAACTTTCAGCCTGATGTTTTCAATCCTCCACTTGTTCTTATATGTGGGTGTTAACTGTATTCGGTATATGGAGAAGGGGGAAAAGGTTTTAATTTTTATAGTGTCAGAAACATGTGAAAGTTACATAAAATTTTTCAAAAGAGCATTAATTTTTTTATTATAATTATTGAGAAAACATACCTTATTAACCATATTTCAAGTTCTTTTGTCAGAAGTTGACTCAGTTTATCAACTTGAAAGTAGGATTGCTAAATCAAAGAAAAATGTTTTACCACTTTTAATCAATCATATCATTAATCAACTAAAAACACTATTGAGTAGCAATATAATATTGCATTCTGATATCTTAAATTGAGCATATACTGGTATATGCCAAATTGGTATTATTTTGTGATTTTCTGTATGTTTGTTTATTTCAATTTTCAGTTGAAATTTCAAAAATTTTAAAAGCAGTTATTTAATAAATTACAATGTATATACACAAGCAAGTAAAAACTAATAATATAATGTTCTGACATTTTTGGTGACCTCATGATGCCAAGGAATGAATAAAACAAGAGCGAGAACTTTCAAAAGAGTTAAGAACTGTAGATTCACATATAAAATTAATGAAGTTAAGTTAGACAAAGACTTAAGCACGGATCGAATCTGTTTGTACATTCAATTGTGGTCTTAATTTTTTTGGATGTACATCATTTCATTAATTAACCAGTCAAATTTATTCCTACATTTTTTCAACACTTTGAACCAACTAAGGAGGTCCTCAGGGACTGTGCCCACACGGTCTTTATAGTAATGTTTATGTACAGAAGATGACATGCTGTTATAGCCAACCATGGGTGTGTGCAGATGTCCGCGAGCATACCAACACAGCTACCTGTATCGCACAGTTCACATTGAAAATGGTAAAGAACACACTATATCTGTTATTTGGTCTCGTATTCTTGGAGGTTCAGGCCAATTTTCCAACTGGATTGTGCTTTGGAGCTTCAGACTAAGGTCCTTCAACTGAGTCTTAACAATGCTAACACAATCCTGATCCTTGAAAGGTATGACCACCCGGGGCACGTCATTTTCCGCCATTACTGCAATGACTGCTGTACAGCAACCCTCCCATTGATAAAGGCATTAATGGTTGAGTTGATGAGTTGTAGTGGGTACTTTAGGCATGAAAACACAAACTTCAAGCACTCTCACTCATTCGAAAAATAAATCCATGGCGAGGGTACCAGTAAATCATTTTTCGGGTTAAAGTCTTTGTCTAACCTAACTTCATTTATGTAAATCTACAGGTCTTACAGTCTTTCCCATAAAACCATGAGCACCAGAGAAAATTTCTGGAATGTTTATTGTTTTGTGACCAATCAGATGCTAGATGAAACCACAAAAGGTAACTGCCAAACTGCAACACGGATTAGTCATGACTTGAAATGAAACAAGGAGGTGGCTCTTTCTTCCACGACAAATCCTCAGTTTTACCATTTTCAAATACTGAATAATTGTTCTTTTCCTATTTCAGCTTATTTGTATGCAAAAAATAGATATGAATGATATATTAGTGACATATTATGGAAAAGTTATGTTGAGTAGATAGGATCAGACACGGCTAGACAGCACATCTGAGGGCAAAAAAAGAGAGCCAATCAGAAGCAATGCTGACCGGTAATTGTTTCATGTGCAGTTCAAAAGGTCATGCTAGTTGGCTGTGATTGGTGGTTTTCAATGCATATTTTTTTGTAGCTGATCAGAAACCTTCACACGACAAATGAGGTAAACTTGTACCATTGTAAATTTGACAATTTACACTTGTCTTTTAGTCTATTCCAAATTCAGAAGTTTGTGTTTTGAACTGACGGAATCAAGTGACTGGTGTTGGTTTATGGTAAAAAATTACACATTTTCAGGGAGAACCAAAGGGTTGATAAATAGGATGTTTGTGCAAACAGTAAAGAGTACTTCATGGGCGAATCGCGTCAAATACTGTTGGACTGGAACATTGGTTCAGTTATGAAGCCATGGTGACTCTTTGCTTTGACAGCAGCTCTCTAACATGAAAAAAAAAAAAAAATTCGATATTTTCAAGGGGTATAAAATCTGCGAACTGAGGAAACCAACTCATGGAATTTGAGAATCATTGTACAGCACCAAATTTTTATGACTGACAGCTTGCATGACATCTTGAGCCGGAGAATAGACCAATATCAATATATTAA